TGAACCGTCTGCGGAGATGTTTCGATAACTTTGATTACGTTACCTTTGGAATCCATGATGATCTCGCGACTGGAGCTCGTGACCTCTGTCGTGCTACTTCTGGCTTCGCTCTCCGTTACTTGTTTCGACTCCTCGACCATGCTGGTCGAGGATACAACCTCGACCGTCTCCGTGGTCGTCACGACGTCCGAGGATGTAGTCGCCACTTCATTCTTCGCAGTCCCCTTATTCTTTGTCTTTGATACAACGCTTTTCTTGTGAATAGTCATCGCGACACTCTTCCGCGACCGGGCTCACGGTCCGATTTACTTTACAGTAATTTTCACACAAGCGAAAGATTCGTGATCGTCGTAAACGTAATGAGAAAAACGTTTGCAAAACACACACACATACACACACCCGCGATTGTTTAATCACCGTAACTTTACCGCTCGCGTGTATCGCTCATCGAGAACTGAAGCTCCGCTGTGACCGGCCTCGTTTACAAACTCGTTTCTTCTCGGAACTTTCTCGCATCAAATACGAGCTTCTTGCTTGCGTGCTTCTCGCTCTCGCTTGGATGCGAACTCCCTCTCCTTCCTTCACTCTCTCTCTCCCTCTATCTTTTCTTTCAGTCAAAAGTACGATCAAGACGACATTAAAATCCGCGTACGCGACCGACGATGTTTTCAATTCAATATCGCGAGTCGATGTGGCATCGGCGGTGACTCGCCGTCGCTGATCTAGGTAACCACACAGTTCTCCGTCGTTCCACACACTCTCTCTCTCTTTCTCACTGACACTGACATACACGGACCATGGACCTTTTATGCTTGGAGAACACCGGCATCCCTACTTTTCGCACCGCGGCGGAGGTCCGATTTACTTTACAGTAATTTTCACACAAGCGAAAGATTCGTGATCGTCGTAAACGCAATGAAAAACGTTTGCAAAACACACACACATACACACACCCGCGATTGTTTAATCACCGTAACTTTACCGCTCGCGTGTATCGCTCATCGAGAACTGAAGCTCCGCTGTGACCGGCCTCGTTTACAAACTCGTTTCTTCTCGGAACTTTCTCGCATCAAATACGAGCTTCTTGCTTGCGTGCTTCTCGCTCTCGCTTGGATGCGAACTCCCTCTCCTTCCTTCACTCTCTCTCTCCCTCTATCTTTTCTTTCAGTCAAAAGTACGATCAAGACGACATTAAAATCCGCGTACGCGACCGACGATGTTTTCAATTCAATATCGCGAGTCGATGTGGCATCGGCGGTGACTCGCCGTCGCTGATCTAGGTAACCACACAGTTCTCCGTCGTTCCACACACTCTCTCTCTCTTTCTCACTGACACTGACATACACGGACCATGGACCTTTTATGCTTGGAGAACACCGGCATCCCTACTTTTCGCACCGCGGCGGAACCTCTGCACACTCATACCTCTGTACGCTCATACGTGACCCGTTGGTTCGGCGTGGGACGTTACCACCCATCCTCGTGTGTCCCACACACGGCGTGGGATGTATTCGCGTTCGTTATGTACGACCGATAACGCGGTAACGTGTTGGAACGCACAACGCTGTTGGAGTACACACCGCTACTACCGACCAGGTGTATGTATATCGCTCAGCACGTTATGTTACAATCGCGATAGATTACAGTCCGTCCTTCTCTGTCGCGGCTTATTTATCCGGCGACATTTTTTCGTCACGCGCATATTTGTATCGCGATAACGTCGCAAATATGTCAATGTCAAATTCCAATAATGCGAGCGAATTCCAGCGCTCGTACGACAAACCGCGAAAAGCGACGGAAAATATTCAATTGTTGTCGGTAACTCTTGCACACAAAATAAAGAAATAATACATTCAGTAACATTTAATAATGTTTGATGAGATATTTTATATGCATCATCATTATTTTTCATTGCAACTTTGTATATAGCGCAAAAATGAAAGTTGCTCAATGATATTTAACGTTACGCCAACTTGTAGACATAGACGCGCTTCGTGCGCACGTGCGCGCATCGGTGTACGCGCTTATGTAACGCACACGTAAACGCAGGATGTAGTCTTTTTATCTTTCCTGCATCGGTGTGCACGCGTACACCTGTTGATTTCTCTCGTACACGCTATACGTGGATAAAATTCCGAACTAAACTCCCCTCCATACGCAGATTAACCCGTGCAAAACGCATCCAGGATTGCGCATATTTAAAAATGAAAAACTTTTACAATTAAATTCTGTTGCAATAAGCTTTTATCGTTTTAATCGTACGATGATCCTCCCTTTTGTATAAAAGTCGATATTTTCTATTAAAGAAGAGAAAACCCTCCGGAATAATTATTACAATCTAATCGTAAGTAATATGAGGTACAAATTACATCGTTACGCGGCAAAATGTAAAATAAAAATAATGGAAAAAAGAGGATAAAAGAGGAAGTCCCATGGGCGTAAAGGCGTGGTATTCTACGCGCGACTCGAGAGAAGAGAGTGTGTTTGATACTTATTTCTATATAAGCGAGGCGCAATGATTCATACGCGCGCGCAAATATTCTTTTTCTTTGAATGTTTAGCAATGAGAAAAATTGCGGACGACAAGCGACGCGAATGCGACGGAGAAATCGCACGGTGGGAGCACCTTCGCAGAACCGGTCCATCGTGATGCCACGATGTAAACCGAGCGATGACGTAGGCTACAAAAGTACGACGATGCTCGTAGCTGGTGTGTGTCCCTCATAACCGGACGAGCGACGGACAAGTGTCGCCAATGTCCATTATTTAGAGACGATTGGAGACAGTTGCGGCAAGATGAGGCTAACGAGCCGCGATTTTAAAAGGAGCAATTGTCTCGTTGATTGCTACAAACGAACTCTTATTAATAGGAAATAGATGTGACTATTTATCCTTCTATTACACACATGACATATCTTGTAAAACGCCTAGTTGTACGAGACATAAATTATTTAGTCATTGATTGCGAAAATTACATATATAACATGAATATTTCATATTGTTTGCTCTTTACTCTCTTAAGCTGAATTGGTGAAAATGTCATTGATTAAAACAGTGATTAAAACAGATTTCACCGAAGATCAATGAGTATTTTATTGAGAACACTCGCTCTCTGTCTTACGTTTCACTGATTACAGCAGTGATTATAGCAGTAAGATTTCACTGAAAAATCAGCCACTGTCATTAACTGATTTTTTCCAATGAAATTTCATTGTTTGCAAGACTTATAACTGAAATACCGCTCATCAATAGTAATATACTAATTTTATTTAAAAGAGTAATGTATTATTGTACGTGGAATTATAAAATGCAACCGATAGAAATTTTTAATATACTTTCTGGAGATCTTGTGACTTTATTTCTTTTTCTAATTGCGGTCTAAATAAATAGAAAAAAATTCACGATCAGATTGGTGATAAAGCCTTAGATAAAGTCTCCGGCCATAAAAGATGCTAAGCGTCTTTTGTTGATATATTTCGCAAATATTGACTCATCGGCATAAAAGTGCGATAGGGAGGTATCGCTCAAATCATAAGACACTGTGTCAATTGTACGGTTACTTGGATCGACTCGAAAGAAACGCTTATAAAAAGTAATAAGCCACGAGATACGCCGGTCGCATACAAACAAAAACGTTTAAATCATTCATGCTTGTGTTTAATTCATATTTGTGTTTCTCCTGCTGTATATGTCCCTCAAAATAAATTAAGCGAGCAATTTTCTCACTTAATCAAAATATTAACACATTTTCGCGTCGAGATGTAAACCCGACTCATGTCAGGCATTAACTATGTGCGAGGTGTGTCTGGCTCGTTAAAAAAAAATGCTCACGTACACTTAGACGTACAGACGTTTATTAACTTTAATGAACGCTTGTTTCTTACGGTGATTTTAGTACACATACATAATGAAATGTGTCATTACGCGAACAAAGCTGCAATCGTCAGAGACATTACGGATCGGGATGACATCATATGACAGATAGCGTCCGAAGATTTATTATATGTTACATAAAGAAATACAAATGACTAGCAGACAATATGCAATAAGAAGTAAATAATATATGGACAAAATAAAAAAAGAAGAGAGATTAAAAAGATTTAATATTATTATATATCTAATTTATACGCGCGATGTGTAAAATTATTTAGTGTTTATAAAAAAATTACCAAACATGAATTCACATCATCACTGACACTATTTGCATCAATCATTTCGCGTTGACATTTATAAAATTATAAAATTCTTACGTTTTATTTAAAAAAATTTTTGACGTACTTCTCCGGGGATATGAGACGCGATCCAGTTATCACGATCGATCTGGAAAAAGTTTTCAAATACGCTGCGCCCTGCGCATCCATGGACCATTTCACTCAAGGAGCGAAAGTACGACGCCCGTCTATGTTCGTGTTTCCCGTAAAAAGCGACGACGGGTCACAGCGTGGGCGGGAAACTGGACGTATACGACTTCTCGAGTTCGACTTCGATGCGCCGTATTTGGCGAATGCGTGGAAATCTGTGGGCGAACCGGTAACTGTTCGAGCGCGTCATCCGCGAACGTAAACGTGAACGTTTCGATACGTGTTCTTCGAGTCCGCTACGTATATCATCTTCCTTGTGTCTGCAAGATATATTGTATCTAATGTTGATTAAACCTTCGTCTACCTTAGCACGCTCGTGAGCGAATTCGTTCGTAAACGCGGGATAATTCTTAGATGCATAAAAGTAGCATGATACATGTAAGCATTGCTTTAAATGTTTGATGCAATCAGTGATAACGGTATTAAAATCATATCGCGTCTTATTACATCATAAGTAGAATATCGCGATACGACTTTAAAGCCATTTCTGATCCTTTGCGAATTATTCCTGTCCTTTTTAGGATCATACAAAGTTTGGTGCAACGCGCATGATTATTCATCCCTTGTCGCCTGAAACGAATACACGTCGGTCTACTTACGTTTTTTTTTTCCATCGAGAAGGACGCGATCGAATTCCAGATAGCGGCTCGCGGCAAGATACCTTAACCAGCGATCGATTTCAAGAAATATCGGCTTCTTGCGTGATCCACATACAAAAATCGCGCATTTCGCAGATCGAGACGTATCCGCGGCGGCGGATCTTTATGGTTAACGGGGTTAACTTTATGCAGAGGAGGAGAATAAAAAAAGTCAATCGCTCTTCGTAAATCAGTTTGGCACGATCTTTCTCCCGAGGGAGAATTGAAAGCATGCCCAACTCGGAGAGAAGAGGCTGCCTCCGTAATGGATAGCGCCATAATGAAGTACGGTACGGCGGACTCTCTCATTAATTAACGTTAAAAGGGAAACTTTTGTAATTGTGCTCCTAAGACGAAGCGATGCAGCCTGACCTTCTCGCTGACGCGTCGTTACGTTGACGTCAAAGAGAACGAGAACCGGCGCATCTTTTGGAAAACGACGCCCTTTTAGTGATTAAGAGAGAGAGAGAGAGAGTACTCCAAATTTATTATATTACAGTCCTTAAATCTCCTTCGCAAGTACTACGAGTACATTATTCGCTTCCGATAACTTCGCCGACATCATTTAACAAGTATTTTTAGCTATTTCTTTCCAAGAAAACACAATTTCTAGAGTGCCTATTATTTTCGAGTTGTGGACATTATTATTTTTATAGAAAATAAGAAATTGTTATTTTGGTAAGATTGAAAAATTAGAAATGTAATATTCCTTGCGTGATTAATAGTGCTTTATTAAAAACTTTAATTCCCTTCAAATGCTGCAAATGTTATTCCTAAAGAGTATATCGACAGTATTAATAATAATATCTAAACGAACAAAGTCACCGGACATAAAACCATACGTGGTTATTCACGCGCCCGTTATAATCATGCCTCGCGCCCATAGTCACAATGAATACGTTGTTCCGGCGTTACGTAGCGATTACACGAAATCCTTCGGAGGTTGCCATTTTTTTTTCCGTTGCTAATTTACTTTATAATGCGTTTCGACCTTTCTTTCAAGGGCGCGCAAGCGAGCGGTCCGAATTCAGCGGTAATTTTTTATTTATGCCAATTCCTGCGCGCCCGCGTTTAATCATCGAGCCTTCAAGGATCGTATCAGGGTTTTCAAGTACGATATTTTCTCCCGCGACCTGATTCGCGTGCACACCTATGCCATAAACGGACAAACGAATATCATCGCGTCGGGGTCGTCTGGTTGGGCAGGGATAAATCGCGAGTGTGTTCGCATTTGCAGTCTATGATGTCATGAGCCGTTTCGTTCCTCTATCGCAAGGCGTGTTAAGAGTCTCTCCTCAGGGAATACTTAATACAGCGATAAATATCTGAGAATAACTCCGAGCCAAATGCGCGATATCTCGCGGGCACTTGTATGTATGACAAAAGCGTGTCCGCCGTCACATATATACATACATACGCAGACGTTGACAGTGGTGCTCGATTTATGCCTCTGTATCATTAACTTGATTTAGTACTCATTTTTCTAAAAAGATATAGCACCGCTCGATATAAAATGGAATGTCGAAGAGACTTCCACTATTACGTATTGAAAAATATTTCAATTTTTATCTCAATTATTAACTGAATTTCGACAACCAATCTTTAGTTTACGAAAAAAAAAGGAAAAGTAGAATAGCTCATCCCGCTTTGTTTAAGCGAAAAACGAATTTGTTTGCCGTAACTGTCTGTCCAGCGTACGCGCGGAGAGCAGGGTGAAAGCGCGCCAGCCTCACAAACGTGATTAGAATCTTGCTACTAATCCCGACGCAAATTGAATCGCAGCCACCGGCGCGGCATCGTTCGCCGTGACAGCCGATACAGAGAAATGCAATTTCGGATGGCACGCACGTGTAAGGCGTGACCACGCGACACGGAAAATTGACACGATTATCGATAACCGCGCGCACACACAGCACGATGCACCGCGTGCATCCTTCCCGTGCGCCGCAGGCATGCACCGGGCGAACGCTTATGGTCCCTTGCGTTTAAACTGCCTTTAGGGACCAGCACCGGTGGTCGATATGCCGCTTTGTAATCACGTGCATGCCGCCAGTACAGGCTAACGTCACCAATTAATTAATATTTGCGATATTCAATAAAATATCCGTACGACCTTTATACAAACACAATAGAATGACCGGCAATTACAGTTTATATATCACGGATTGTAAAGTCTAGTCTATTTATGAAAGATCGATTTTTTTTTTTTACAGAAAATTCATTGAGATATCACAAAGTTAGCAAAAAATTCAAAAAACCTTTTTGTAATATACGTTTTATAAAAACGTCATACGCATTTTCATATAATTGAGTTGAATTTATATATTATGCGATATGTACATCACTATTTTGCACATAAATGGAGATAAAAATTGCCTCATAAACATTATAATAAAAAATTATCTTTCAACTATCTTGTATTACTAACATTAATTAAAACTTTATGAAAAACACAAGTTTCATGGTCTAATAAGTTGATTGCGCACATGTGGAATATCTTCTTTAGAAAGATGTTCATCTCTGGAGTAACGCAGATACTATTGACGTTCGCATGCTTGCACTTAATGCGCAATCTATACATATATCCTAGATGTGGTTACCACGGACAGTATCGATGAAACAACGAGGAAATTTGTCTATTTGTTTCAAACGGATAGATTGCGATACGTGTGCTCTATGATTTTACAACATCATAAACGTATACATACCGTACGATATATACAAGATTTTGTGCGATAAACTTTTAAAAGACTTTTAACAATAAATATTCAAATATTCATAGAAATGTTAATTACGCAATCGATGTTTATATGAAATATGATAATTATTAATTAGACTAAGAAAACCACTAAAAAATTGTTCTACATATATTCAGAAGCGTATCGAGTTCATGAGAAAATTTCATTAAAGGTCTAAAGCCCCGGAAAGTAGACAAACATTGATACACCGTTGACGAACACGTTATGATATCACTGGCGCCGGAAAATGTTTCAGCTCCTTGGTGCATCGGAAACTTCTTGTTAGTTTAAGGTTTAAGTTTAAGGAATTAATTTAATGTAAAAAATGATATACGAAAAGCATATAAATAATATATATATAAATAAAATAAAATATAAT